ACTTATGACCATAATCCATTCCAGAAGATGGACGTAACTCAAAATAGTCATAAGTCAAAGCACCATTTCCCATAGGAATGCATTGAAATGCAATTAATCCTTTCTGGCTGAAGAAAAAAATCACCCCAAAAATTACAGTATCTTGTGATTAATCACTGTGATTTATCCCTTCCGGCCAAAGGAGGGGGAAAAAAGCAATCAAGAATGCAAGACCCGTTGGAAATGCACAGAAAACAAATTAAGTAGATCGGAAATGCACAGAGAACAAAGGGGGCAGGTCAGAAATGCAAAGAAAACAAAGGAAAAAAAGCAAGGGAAACATGGGGGAAGAAAAAAATACAAAAAACCCCCCCAAAAAACCAACCAAACAAACTGCAAGTCCCATGCTGGGACTGCCAAACAAACAAACAAACAAACAAACAAACAAACAAACAAACAAACAAAAAAACCCAAACAAACAAATTCAAAAAAAATAAACATTGGAGCAAGTCCCACATTGGGACTGCAAAAAAAAAAATCACCCCCCCCAAAAAACCCCACCACAGAAACATAACCCCCCAGCCTAAACCTACCCTCCAAGACCCACCCAGATCAAAAAAAGCAGAACTTACTGGTCTGAAGCCTCCTGGGGGGTCCCCTGCCACTGCAGTCACTGCCACTGCGAGGCTTGAGCCTGGCTGGGGTGCTTCAGCCACTTGGCCGTGGCGGAGGCAGCGGTCGCCCAGCGCCGGGAGACATGAGCTGGCCAGATTTCGGCTGCTTGCCTCCCAGCTCGCCTCCCACTTACTCCGTGAGCCCATGGTGTCAAATTCAAATGGCGGAGGGCGGCAAGGAGCGAGTGGGAGGTGAGAGGGAAGCAGCCGAAGAAACCTGGCCAGCTCAAGCCTCCCGGCGCTGGGTGACCGCTGCCTCCAATCGAGGCAGCCAATCGTGGTGGTGGCGGACCCCTAGGAGGTCTCCCAGGGCTTCCCCGCTGCGATTGGAGACCTCCCGGGGTGCCGCCACCGCTGCGATCGAACCCCCAGGAGGCCTACGATCACAGCGGGGAAGCCCTAGGAGACCTCCCTGGGGTCCCCCGCCACCATCAGAGAGCTCCTGCGGGTCGCTTTTCCTAACTGTTGGGGCAAAAGAGCAGCCTCTTCACCACCAGAATTTGAATGGAATGAAAAAAAGGCAGGGGAAATTTGAATTTCCCACCCTTTTCCCCTGCCTTTTTTTCGTTTGTAGCTCGAGGCTCCGTTCACAAGTCAATGCAGATTTTTGCGAACAAAGCCGTTCGTAATTCAAAATGTTCTTAGGTAGGGACGTTCGTAAGTCGAGGTTCCACTGTATATCATATACTGTACCTTTGGGTTCTTTGCAAATTCAGTGGTCTCATAATGTACAAGAGCCCAGACAGACAGATATGCACTTACACATACAAAATACACCATCACCTTTCTCCTATATATTCTATCACAGCAATGATTTCCAGATGTTTTTTGACTGCAACTCCAAAAAGTTAGCATGGCCAGAGGTCTAAGGTGCTGGGAACTGGATTCCAAAAGTCTAGAACCACTCTTTTAGTAGGATAATCGATAAAACTAGAAGATGTAGAGCAAAGATGGGCAATTTTGGGGTATCTGGAAGCCAGCTTTACCATTTTGTGGCATAACGGCAACTGAAAATAGAAAAAAAAAACTTCTAATTGCTGGGAAAATGCTTTTGCACAGTAAACTGTAGACATAATGCTAAAAAAATTGGCTGCAGGCCATTTCAAAATAGTGAAAGGGAGATGCATGCTTCCATCCAAATGTTGATGTCTTAAGAATTGGAAAGTGCATATTTGTAAGTGAATTCAAGTTAGCTGTAGGAATATAACTTTGTTCTTGTAAAAAAGTCTGTTGAAACTATGAAAGACAGGAGAAGAACAAACTCAGTTCACGAAAGCTTCCATGCCAGTCAACCTAGAGGCAAATCTTGCTTTTCACAGGCATCAGATTGAATGGTTGCTTACAGGTACAAGTTCTCCAGGATTAATGGGCTTGTGCCTTAGTTTTCTTCTGTGATGATTTCGCCTTAGTGCTTATGTTAAACAGATCGTGACTGAAATCCTTGAAGTATAGTTGTGAATGCCAAAGAATAAGAATAAAACAAGAACCAGCATCTGAGCACATAATGATAATGTTCCTTCTTACCACACAGATCCACTCTAAACCTCAGCAATGGGGAAACTGAGTCGGTGAAAACGATGATTGTGCATGATGACGTGGAGAGTGAACCTGCCATGACTCCTTCCAAGGAGGGCACTTTAATTGTCCGACAGGTAATGCAGTCTTTCAGAGTGCCGCTAGCTTCCTCATTAACTTGCCCATTCTTCCAAGGGCTTTCTCTACGCAAGGCCAGTTGCAGGAGTTATAGACACAGACAATACCCACAGACGTACAGAGCAAGCAGAAGTAATGAGAGTTTCCCGCACATTGTTTCACATGCCTTTGATCGACACTTTACAGCGCTGTGCAGATGGTGTCCAGGATCAGGGTTAAAAGAGCCGTAGGCACCAGGAAGAAACCTTTGTTGTGATTCTTTATCTTTAAATCCTCTGTTGGCATCTTAAGAGAAGGTGAAACAACTAGCAGTGGGATAGATTGAAACAGTGAAAGAAGGGATCATCCAGTTTGTTTTAAATCAATTACACTGATACCATGTTATCCCTCTGAAGGAGTTCAGAGCAGGTTACATAGGTGTTTCCCAAGAGGTTTTCTGCTCATGCAGTTCATGATGCCAAGGCTACTTACGTTTAGGTATAGAACTAATGAGTCAAGATCCTCCTGTCTTAAAATGTGCATAGAACAGTTAAGGAACAATAATAATTCCTTCCCTCTTTCTTGAACCTCCTGATATGTTCAGTCCAGTAGTGGGTAGGACAAAAACCTTTTCTGGCTACAGTCTTCCAGTTTTCCAGGAAAACATCAGTATCATAACTGAGCCCCTAAGTTTCCGTCAGGTGCCCTGCGTATTATTTAAAGAGCTGAATTAGGACATTGACCAGACATTTCCAGCATTTTATCTGCTCTTGACTGGAAACCGAAACTAAATGCAAACAGGATCTTGAGAAGAACCTTAGGGAGCATGCAGGTTTGGTGCGATAGCATAGATCTGGCCAATGGTAACTGAATGTGCAGGTGAAAAAAAAAAGGAAGTCTGATTCTGCCAGAGAACCCTCCCCAAATATCATAAGCCTGGCTCTTCTAGTTATTCTTTTCACCGCGGCCCACCTTTCTAACTAAGGCGTCAAGCCATGGTTCATGAATGCATGGGTTGAAACCTTAGAAGTAGGTCAGTCTGCTAGGGAGTCTAGACCTTTTACGCAGCACTTGAGCAAGACAAGTGTGCCTGTTTTTTCTACAGAGTACAGTTGACACAAAGCGTGCCAGCCATCATGAGAGCAATGGCTTTGCCGGTCGCATTCACCTCTTGCCAGATCTCTTACAGCAAAGCCATTCCTCCTCCACTTCCTCCACCTCTTCCTCCCCATCCTCCAGCCAGCCGACACCCACCATGTCCCCACAGGCACCCCAGGACAAGCTAACTGCTAATGAGGTATGTCTTGCACCACAGCTGGCTGCTTTCATAGGATTAGAGATGTATTGCCTAATAGCTAGTGTTCAGAGGAGCTCCAGCCAATGTCCCTTTTGCTGCTCTTCTTCTGTCACTCACCCCTCCCTCACTTTCCCAAAATAACACATTTCAGTTCTTCTGTATCAAACTCCTTAACTCTAGAACAGTTTTCCCGCAAACATGCCAGTTGACTACTCTTGCTTTCTACAATGAGTCCTTAATTGCATGGCTTTTATATAAGCTAAAATGATTGCTATTTTGACATTGGATTAAATGCTATTTTGGGGCAAATGGAAGACTTTGAAAAATCATTTTAGGGTAATCTGGCTCCCCGTTCCCCCACCCCATTATAATAATACTGCCTGGTTTAGCTTAGTATGGAGTAATACGCATGTAGAGGGCCCTTGCTTTGGGGGAAATGGAGCACTGTATTAGGAAGGAAGCTTTCTCCAGCCTTACCACAAGAGGCTGCTTTTTAGAAATTTCTGTATGGGAATGGGAATGAGCAATTTACTGTACTGGTTTTCAGGAAAGCTCTGCTCTCTGAATTCTTAGGATTGTTCTTAATTTATTGCCTGTTGTCTGTTAGATGGAAATATTGATTTTTTTTTGCCACAACAGTAGAGTTCTGAAGGGTGTCTGTAAAATGAGAAATATTTCTCCTGTGACATCACTATTCTAATGTTTGCAGATTGTTAAGTCCATCTAGTGGTAGGAAAAAGTATATGTTGAGTGTTTCCCCTAGGAGTTCTTGTAAATGTAATATAAGTTAAATAGTAACAGTTTATTTAATGAAATGAGGTTTTCATATGGGTAGAACGTTTTGAAAACATTTGTATCAATAAGAGGAGAATGGACAAAATATAACTCAGGCTGGGTCCCCATTACACCATTTTTAGAGAGGGGAGTCTGTTCTGGAAGTGTCCTCATTACTTTCAGTTCAAAAATACTTATTTAGGATCATACTCTCTTTAAAAGCCTTCTACAGTTTTCAGTCAGAAGCAAGTTATTTACAGCACTGATTGGCTAGTCCTCATGATGTGCTGAGAATGCCACACCCAATCCCTGGAATAATTTTGTACATCTTGAAAAGAAGAAGGAAATTGCGTGGAGTAGCCAAACTGAGACCTTAGCTTGAGGATCTCTATGTTAAATCTGTCTTCAGCTTCAGACTCCCAAGTGTGTAAGAGAGAAACCATATATATATATATATTCAAATTGGCATCCTGGGTGAATGTGGTATATACACACATACACACACTGTATACAGTAGGACTCCCATATCTGTAAGCAATAATCTAACATGAATGCCTGAAACTATGGATAGTAGTGAACCCTGTATACAACATACAAGGAGGCAGGGCAGGGCAAAGGGGCCCACCCCCTTGTATGTTGTACATGGAGCTGCAGTAAACTACAGGTATTAAAACCACAGATACTAATTCCATGGGGCCCACCCCCTTGTATGTTGTACATGGAGCTGCAGTAAACTACAGGTATTAAAACCACAGATACTAATTCCATGGGAGGGCAAATGCCACAGGCCCACTCCCTTGTATGTTGTAAATGGAGCTGCAGTAAACTACAGATATTAAAACCACAGATACTAATTCCATGGGTACAGGGGTCCTACTGTACTATACCCCCCTCTAATTGTGGTGTTGTGGTACAGTTAATAAAACCATAGTAATATAGGGAGCTATCTTTCAAATTAAGAAAGATTAGATCATGTGAAATGTTTGAAAAACAGAGTTGTGTGTGCAACTGCCAGTATGAATGAGGGTAAAAGATCTCCAGCAGTAAGAAGTTTTACAGAGCCTAGAACTAACCCAAAATGCATAAAATAAGTTAAAACATAAATTCACTCTTCCCTCTCTTTTTTTTGTCTGTAGCAACATTTAAACAACACGTAATTAATTTTAACTCCTGTCATTCTGCTTTAATGTGCAGTGTTTTCCCTATAATACTTAACTCACACAGCCAAGGGGGGTGGTAGATTTTCTAAGTCACTCCACTTCCACTTGTTAACAGTTTCACTTTTCTTCTTTTGTTTGTGTTCATCATTTTAGTGTTTTTAACAACAAAACGCACCAGTGCCTTCCTGTCAGTGTTCTCACATACCCTCACATACCCTTGACACAGGTTTCTTTTTTCTTTTTTTATCTCCCTTTGAGAAATGATGGTGGAAGAACCTGCTGCAGTTTTCTGGCAAGAGTCTCAGTTTTCAAAAGACAGATCTAAGAAAGTGCAAGAACTATCTTAAAATTAGCCATCTGTTAAAATCTTAGAACTGATTGCTTGATTCCCAGTTGCTCCAATCGTGTTCCATTTGGAGCTTGTATCCCTCCCATTTCTCACTGGCTCTGTGACAACAAAAAGCATGGAGTGTTATAATGGGATTATGAAAAGCAGAGTAGGGGGTGCGGGGGGAAAGGTTTACAGAATAGACAGTTCCTATTTCAGCAAGAAAAGAGTCATCTCTGTCTTGAGCTGATTTTGGTCAACATTCTGAAAAAGAGCTGGATCTTGAGCTGAACATTTTGTAGCAATGTTTAGAAAATTTGCTTATTTGAAGATGCGATTGATGCCGCTGAGAAGTAGGTAGCACTTGGGGAAGGGGGACGAGAAGGCTTCTTAAAACAGTGCTGTCCGATATCAGTTGGAATGAATTTTCTTTGTATTTAATCATAATGGTCTACATTGTGGTCATTAATGAATCTGAAATTTATATTGCAGACTCAGTCCGCTAGTAACACACTGCAGAAACACAAATCTTCCTCCTCCTTTACACCTTTTATAGACCCCAGGCTACTACAGATCTCTCCATCTAGTGGAACAACTGTGACATCTGTGGGTGAGTCATACAAACAGCCGCGATCCGACGATATTGGTGGATCATGCCTTTATTAAACTGCAGAGAATATCACACACATAAGCTAACTTTTGCCTCCATGTAATTCCTCATCAGGCTGGATATTACAGAGCTGGATGTTGTGCAGGAGAAACATAAAAAGGCCAAAATGCAGAGCCATGCAGATTTTTGTGTTTAAAGCGAGTTCCACCAATGAGGGCTACAGAGACAGCTCAGGGGTGGTAGGTTTCAGAGTTATCTCTGGCAGTGTGGATTAGAATGGCCCTCCTAATCTTGTTAGAGAAAATGAAAAGAGTACAGGATATTGTAAAAGCTATTTAGTAAAAAACACTTAGAAAGTTGACCATATTTGTGACTCGCTTTTGTTTTATGTTTCTGTATGTTTGAACAGAAAGTGTATACTTTATGTCTGATCTTTCTCTGTAACACAATATACATGCCTATCTCTGTGTTCATATGCATATTTTAAAAATTGGATTTTGTTCCTTCCTTCCTTCCCTCACTCCTTCCCTCTGCAGTAGGATTCTCTAGTGAAGCAATGAGGTCGGAGGCGATAAGGCAAGATCCAACTAGGAAAGGATCCGTTGTTAATGTAAACCCTACAAATACACGGCCACAGAGTGACACTCCAGAAATCCGCAAATACAAGAAGAGATTCAATTCTGAGATTTTGTGTGCTGCGCTATGGGGTACAGGATCCAATACTGGCTGCTATTTTCCTATATTTTCCAAAAAGTTCCAGGCGCTTACATTTGACTGGGAATTTAAGAACAAGACTTGTTTCTGGGTGGCTTTCAGATTGGCTTGCTGGGTTAATTTAGTATAGTGAGCAGAAAAAGAGTTCCATTTGGATTTAATAATGGCTAATGTAAACTAGTACAGTATGACAAAGTTATGAGTAAACTAAGTTCTGTAGATTTCAGTGGTCTGATTCAATCTGGTTCCAGTTCAATGGGGTTATATCTAGACATAATCCTATTTAAAGAGGTCCACTAAGGACCTATGCAGATATATGGGCTTACACTGAGTTAGGATCTAAGCCAGAAGTTCATGGAAGGTAAATTAGTATGCCAGTTTACATAGAAGTAAACATTTCCGGTTGGCAAAAAAATCCTAGAAATAAGATTTCTATGTTAAAGAAATTATGGAAAGATCATGGAAATATCCCAGGGAAATGAATTCTGATTTAAAGTCATTTTTTAATCTTTCATCACACAGTTCCTTAGGATTGTGCTGTTTGGATTTTGACAGCTCATTATATCTCCTGCAGTGCAAAAATGCTTTTGGGAATATTTTTAGAACAGGGAAAATGTAGAAATCCCTCACCTGGCAGAGAAAATTTGTGTCCTGACTTTTACCTTATTTACCCTAGGGGTTAATTTGTTAGTGGGAACAGAGAGTGGCCTGATGCTGCTGGACAGGAGTGGCCAAGGAAAGGTATATCCGCTAATAAACAGAAGAAGGTTCCAGCAAATGGACGTACTTGAAGGTCTGAATGTGTTAGTGACAATATCAGGTAAATACAGGTTCTCTTTTTAAAAATATTTGAAGACATTCCTGAATAGTGAAGTAACATAATCTGGAAAGTACTATTTCAATCATTACCCTACCCAGTTCGTCGTCTACCCTACCCAGTTAGGTAATATTAATGTTACCTACTTGGAAAACTGGGTTTCTCGCTTGCTTATAGACCCTATTCTCCTTTTCGGACATGTTACTCTGTGTGGAGAGAAAGTTAAGATTGAAGGGGAGGGACTTTATTCATCTTTTTCTGTTGCCCAAAAGCTTGGGTACCATTATGATATATTTCCCCCTCCCCCGGTTTTTTGTGTGTAGTCCCATGGAGAGTGAACTACTAACTAGAATTTATATATCAGACATCTTGTGTGTTCAAAGCAGAGTGTGTTGCAGATCTATGGGCCCCATGGTGTTTAAAACACTCTTTGTGTGGATTACAATTCAATAATTCAGCCTACACATTGTTCCCCCAAACCCATTGAGCTGGGTACTCAGTTTACTGACCTCAGAAGGATGGAAGGCTGAGTCAACCTTGAGTCAGTTACTTGAGCCCATTGGGATCGAACTCAGGACACGAGCAGAATCTTAGCTGCAATACTGCAGCTTAACCACAGCGCCTCAAGACCCCTTGTTGTTAACTTGTTTTAATGAAAGGATAAAGTGAAAGAGTTGGTGAAAGGATGTAAATATGTTTACTCTCTTTTTTCATGAGCCTTTCCCCACTATCCTCTCTCATCCTGGTTTACAATGCAGCTGACCAGTATCAAAAGTCAACAAAATGCATAAATTTTTAAACTCTTAATTAATCCTATTTTCAAAAGCTTAATTTAAAAGTAACCTCACTTTTGTTTTAATGACAAAACCAGATATAATGCTTACCAGCCCTCCATGATATGGACTCTGGAGGTTCAAATTCCTGCTCAGGGAGCAGAACTGGTAAAACCACTCCTTAAAGTACCTCACTTGCCTTGAGAGCCCTGTTAGGGTCTCCATAGGTCTGTTCCAACTTGACAGCACAGAAAAACATTCTCTCTCTCTCTTGTTTTCTTGATGTACCTTTTTTTTAAAACATAGCAGGCAATAAAATTCCTAGAAGAAGAAAAAATACCTTTACACGAATCATTGCTGTATTGCCTTTTTGCCTGCTTTATTGCAGTTCATATCACCATTGTGTGTTTAAGTTTGCTTTACTGTCCATTCTTGGCAAACTGCTTATTTTATTAGGTAAGAAGAACAAATTGAGAGTTTACTATCTGTCGTGGCTGAGAAATAAAATTCTTCACAATGACCCTGAAGTAGAAAAGAAACAAGGCTGGACCACTGTGGGTGATTTGGAAGGCTGTGTGCACTATAAAGTTGGTGAGTCCATCACAATCCACAAAGAGGGAATAACATATAAAGGAAACGTCTGGTTAAAATAAATCTGTATTGTTCAAATGAATTCTGCCTAGCATATAGCCTTCCATTATGAATATGTGGCATAAAGGAAGCCTCTTTATTTATATCTTTGAGTATGAATGTTGGATGAATTTCCTTTTATGTTTATCAAGCTGTGTGTCATCAGGAGCATAGGCAAACTGGGGGCACTTTATCCATTTCCCCCCAGCCTTGGCGTCATCACTTTTCCTGGTCTTCCTTTAAATCTAGTTCCAAGAGAGGAAAGAAACAGGTTTCTGTTCCGTCTATTGTTTTAAGCAGTTTTGAACATGGCAGAGAGTAACCAGGGCAGAAAGTATGTAAACCAAGCTGTGGTAGATCATTTCTTTTCTTTTAAGTGCATTTTGTCCCATAGAAGAATAAATAAATCATTGTTTCAGGTGCTGGCTCTCTTCCCAGAAAAAAAAAATTGTTTTAACTTAAGAGCATTGCTTTGGCTGAGTCTGTAAACAGTTCCTCTCCATTGTTGTTGTTCTTCTTCTTTTCCCTTTCCTCCAACATTGGAAAGTATCAATTGCTCCAGTATGTATAAATTATTCTTGAAAGGGAATGAAGTAGGTATACATTGAAGCAATTAACAGGTTAGAGGTTTTCCTTCCTTTGTAACAAAGAAAACTGCTTCTTTTTAAAATGGTAGCTGCCGCTCACAATTTTAATACTTAAAAAAAATCACTCAGTTGCCCAGTTAATCAAAAGTAGTTCTTTAACTAGATATTCTTAAACAATTTGTCAACTGTTCATACTGAACATTGCAACCCTGTTTTTTAAAGAAATAAATGAAATAAGCAGTTTAAATCTAAGAAATCTAAGTAAGTATATATCCCAAAATAGTACTTTAATCATTATTCGAAAAGGAGATGGATGAGTAGATGATGAGATAATTAGTTTCTAATCTGTTAGCAGTGGTAAGATTGATTATTCCTAGGAGCTGGAAACCAGCTCACAACATACCATTAAGTGTTTCCTATAGAGAGAAATCTAGGTAAAGGTAAAGGTTCCCCTTGACATTTAGTCCAGCCGTGTCCAACTTTAGGGTGTCTCCAAGCCGTAAAGCCAGCGTTTGTCCGCAGACAGTTTCCGCGGTCATGTGGCCAGCGCGACTAAAATACCGAATGCCGTTATCTTCCCACCGTCATGGTGCCTATTTATCTCTTGCATTTTTACATGCTTTCGAACGGCTAGGTTGGCAGGAGCTGGGACAAGCGACAGGAGTTCACTCCGTCGCGTGGATTCAATCATACGACGGCTGGTCTGCAGACCTTGCAGCACAGAGGCTTCTGCAATTTAACCCGCAACACCACCATGACCCCATTAGAGAGAAATCTGAGATATAGCATTTAATGACAAACTTACTCATATCTGAGGACATGTGGACTTGTCCATGAAAGCTCAAATTAAAATATAGCAGTTATAGTCCTTAAGGTGCCACATTTTTGTCTTCTTTATTTTTTATTTTTCTTTTGTTTTTGCCTGATATGTAGAGATGCAACATTTCTAAAAAATTTCCACTCTGGAAAAAAAAAACAGGGGAAAAACAGAAATTTTTCATCTCTACTGATAAGTAATATAAAAGCTAAGAAGGCGATGACTACTAAAACTCTGTTTGCAGATATATGATGAGAGTTTATTAATTTTGTATTGATAAAGGAGAAGGAATAAAGTTTAACAGAAGAGCCTATACAATTTTGGAAGGGGAATGGGGTGCCATAAGGATAAATAGTATAAGCACTTTCTTCCAAATGATGGAGAAAATACCTAAAGTGTAGGCAGTTTATTTTTTTTTCCTTTTAGTTTTGTTTACTAGATGTGTTAATGTTTCTTAGCTTTAAAATTAAAATTCAACTTTATCTCTCGTGGCTTGACACAAAAAAAACATTGCCAGTCTAAATAGTCTAAAGTGTTGAAATCTGTCTTCATCTGTCTTTCAAATAATCCTTTGGATGAAAAGGGTGTAAAGGTCTTTCAAAATATTAAGTGAATATGATCTGAAACTATAGGAGATGGTACAGAAGAACACTGGCAATGTCGACACTTGTTATAACTATAAATTAGGGAGTTTACTTAGCATAAGTAAGAAATTTTAAGAATGTTTTTGTTTAAAGAAATAAGGATCTTTTTATTTTTATTTTTTGCAAAATCAGTTTTTGAGGGATGACAACAGTTCATAATTTTAATGGAATAAATTGCATGCTAACTTAATTGTAGCTATCTTCTGTATTGGGTCTTATACATATATTTCATATATGGAGTTATGAAGCATAGATTGAAATCCTGTTGCTTGGCATAGTAAAATGAACTAGAACAGGCTCCTTGAATTAGTGGAGTTTTAATGATTCACCTCTTCCAAGTCAGCAGTATGTGAGTAAGCAAAATAAATAATAACAAATAAATACTCTGTTTGCAATTTACTGTGCTAAAATCCAAGAAGAAATGGCCAGAAAGATGAACAAGGGGGCCCTAGAACAAGTCAACTCTGAACTATCTCTGGAGGCAAAAATGATGCAACTGAGGCTGTCCTACTTTGGGTACATCATGAGAAGGCAGGATTCTCTGCTGGGAAGATTGAAAGCAGCAGGAAAATATGAAGACCAGCTATGAGATGGATCAAATCCCTAAACTCATAGGCTTGAATTGAGAAGAGCTGAGCAAGGTTGTCGAAGACAGGACATTTTAGAGATTGCTTGTTCATAGGGTCATCATAAATCTGAGGTGACTTAATAGCACATAGCAACAACAATGCTAGAATGGTTTCAACTAGGGTGTGCCCGTTTGAATCAATGATACTTCCAGAGGAGTTGACTCAACAAATCTCCATTGATTCATTGGGCCTACTCTAGTGCAACATGCTACACCAAGGAACTGTATTCCAGCCATGGTTTAACTACTGGTAATTTTATAGTGTTATAGGACAATCGTATATTTGCATTCCAGTCTTTACAATGTCCTTTACTGTCCTTTTAAAATTTCAGTAAAATATGAAAGAATCAAATTCTTAGTAATTGCTTTGAAGAGTTCAGTGGAAGTCTATGCTTGGGCACCAAAACCATACCACAAATTCATGGCATTTAAGGTAAGGATGCATGCTTACAGAACTGGTCTACGTGGCAAAGTGTTTAAATGTTGCATGTGTTCAAGAGTTCAGTGTAATAGAATTTAAATTATTATTTGACTTAGGGTATGCTAGTGAAGAACAATCGTGATTAGAGATCGGCGGTTTCTGATGGTTTTCCTTCGGACCAACAGGTGTTTAGCGCTTCCCAACCCCGCCTTCCTCTGGTAGGCAACCATTCAGAGGCAGCACCCAGAAGAGGTGAGGCAGGGAAGCGTGGGTGCTGCCTCTGAGTGGGCACCTGCTGGAGGAGGCAGGATTGGGAAGCGCCGAACATCTGTTCGGCCGAAGGACAAACTGGCACAAACCACCAAGCCAGCGGTTTGTGTCCATTTCTAATCATGAACCAGGAGACAGTCAGGAATCCAGACGTTCATAGGATATACTCACTGTACTATACTTGAGAATCCCTTTATTTATTTTTGGACACTTCTCAATGTACAATATACAGTATGTTCTTTAAAAGGCAGAGGAGATCATAGGGTGAGTGCACATTGTTGCTCTGCAATATTTTTTCCTTCCTTCTTTCCTGTCAGTGGAAAGGTGTAATACTTGTGGTGAATTTTTCTTGCTTGTAAGGAGATCATAGGGTGAGTGCACATTGCTCTGCAACATTTTTTCCTTCCTTCCTTTCCTGTCAGTGGAAAAGTTTTAATACTTGTGGTGAATTTTTCTTGCTTGTAAGGGAAATGGATTTGGCTTATTTTGGATGAGGCATGTTCTGGGAATCCTGAACACCAAGGGCAAGGACTAATGTTGTGGCATGACCAGGGGTTTGAAATGCGATCTAACAGATCTGGGTTACAGTCCTCACCAAGCCATGAAACTCACCACTGGGCACTTACTCGCTCAGCCTCAGGCACCTTGCAGTGTTGTTCTGAGGGTAATATGGTGAGGAGAACCAGCTGTGCTGCCTTTTATTCATGGGATGGATTGCAGGATGGATCTATAACTGTTTATCTGTGTAACTAAGGCAACCTGTTTTAATGTAGTGTACTAAATATCTGTATTTTCCTCTGTATGACAGTCATTTGGAGACTTAGTACATAAGCCATTATTAGTGGATCTTACTGTAGAAGAAGGTCAGAGACTGAAGGTGATTTATGGATCGTGTGCTGGATTTCATGCAGTTGATGTGGATTCTGGATCAGTGTATGATATTTACCTCCCAACGCATGTAAGAATCCAAGGTGTTTTATTCTGTTACATTCCCTAGGCCATATTATTTTGTTAATTATTTTATTTCAACTACCTGAAATGCTAATTAGATGAAGAATGGTACCAAAATGTTTTTTTTAAAAAAGAATGCATGTTTTAAATCTAATTCATTGGCTGAAATCCTATTGCTTTGTTGTGTTACGCAAAAGGTGTAAAGTTCAATCCTTCCTCACTGGCAGGTAACAAGTCTACAGTGTGATTCTGAACCATGCATCAAGCTAGTGAGCGAGTGCCCCCTCTCCCAAAAAGCCAAGTGGTGCCTTCTGCATATCTAATAAAGCAACAGGATTTCAGACATTATCCTTATGTTCTTAAAATGGTCATTACCATCCGATGTGAGGCTCTTAAGTCATTCATACCTTGTGAGGCTCTTAAGTCCATCATACCTTGCAAAGTAGGTGATTCTGTGAATTTGTGAAATACATAGTCCAAGGGAATAACCAACCAAGAGTGCCCAGTTTGAATTACTGACTCAGAATTCATGAATGTGTGTATATTGTTCCCAGATCCAGAGTAGTATCCAGCCACATGCAATCATCATTCTACCAAACACTGATGGGATGGAGCTGCTAGTTTGCTATGAGGATGAAGGAGTATATGTTAATACATATGGAAGGATCACGAAAGATGTGGTTCTGCAGTGGGGAGAAATGCCTACATCAGTGGGTATGTATGACAAAAGATTTCCAAATTATTTGCAGTGTTAGGGAAGCCATGTGGCCAAATAGAGAGGTGGGTTGGGTTTTGTTTTGCTTTGCTTTGTGAAAGGCTGTCACTTGAGCTACTAGAAATGTAATATCTTCTTACTTGTATAGAACCAAGAAAGAGAAAACTGTGATTATTTTATTGATGTTTATAAGAATCCACCTGTTATCACAATAATTACATTAAATGGTCCACAGAGCTTAATGCACTTTATATATGGTTTAGAAAACCTTTCTAATAACTGTTGATGGATCATATACACATACACATGCAAACAGACCTGCCCAACAACGTGTTGGAGCTGGTTTTGCCCCTTGTTTTCTCTGTCATAGACTCAGATAACTGACCCCTGGAATTTAAAAAAAACCCTGAAATAATCTCACTTGAATTAAATTTTATAGATAGTTGTGAATTTGTTTCCTCGCTCTTCTCCCAGATATATTGGCTAAAGAAACTTCTTTTCTCAGTATGTAGTTCTATACATACTGGGGTGTAAATTCCATTGGCAGAGTAGATTTTGGTCTAGATGGGCGGTGGATAAATTAAACAAACAAACTTCTGAGGAGATGTAGATAGAATTGTGCTGCCTGTTCTTGGACTTTTAGGTTTTGACAATTATTGAAAAGGAATTAGATAATAATCATCAAAATGTTTGGTGACATATGATTCTCTTCTAGCTTTCCATGACTCTTGAGCAGTTCACAGCAAGATTTAAAACAGTTTATTCTGTCCTGAAGATGAGTGTTATTTGATTCGAGAAATTCTATTATTTAGCAGAATGTATTTGAGCCTACAATGCAAAAGGCAGGCACTGCACTTTATGTTACTTCATAATGTCCATCTTTTTCTTTTTGTTGAAAAGCCTATATTCGATCCAATCAAATTATGGGCTGGGGAGAAAAGGCTATTGAGATACGATCGGTGGAGACAGGACACTTGGATGGGGTATTTATGCACAAAAGGGCACAAAGACTCAAATTTCTATGTGAACGGAATGACAAGGTATGCTAGATGTTTCTCCATACTTTCATTCAGTTTTTGCCGTTTCAGAATTACAGTGGAGAAGAGACAAAACAGATGCTAGTGATTAGTCTGAGATTTGTGAAGTCTAGTTGGGCATGGGGATCAAAATATTTGATGCACCCATAAGATGCCTTGTGCTCTTCTTCCTTAGCAGAGAGAGAGAGGAGCCCTCCATGTCTTAGTCTGCAGCTCCCATCATTCCCCAGCATGGCCCACACTGGCAAGGGCTGATAAGACTTATAGGTGGGTGGGGGAGTGCCTGGAGAGTCGACATGCCCCACCCCATCTTAGTATCAAAAAGCTTAACATTAGGCCCCTTTGTGTGGCATTATTTTTGCATATTAATGCTCCACAAAGCTGCCAGCGCCGTTGTCAGTGTTCCCACGTGGCCCCTGTTTGTTTCACCAAACTTAAGAGCTCATGCTACCTGTATTTCAGCTGCCGCCAGTTGATTACATCAACATTGTTTATTATTGATTGCAGAGGTCCAGGCAGTGTGTCATTTTAAAAGAAACAAATAGAAATTGTTTATTGTTAGAGATGTTGACAGAACATGCAATGTTGTTAACGGTTAAACGAACATCCTCCTTTATCCACTCTCAACCACCACTTTCCCGCCCAAACTCCAAAAACTCATCAATCTCCTCCACTAATTACCCCTCCTCGTGCTGAGTCTCTTATAGTTCGTGACTCCGCCCCTCCAGCACTCCCATTGGTTTATGCAGGCATCGCATTAATATTCATGACTTGGGTGGATGCCACAGCTGTATTTAAAGACATGTAATAACTATACTTCTAGCTGCTGTGCTTGAAATGGTTCTCTTGCCTTCTTTGTACTGCTTTGCTTCATTGGTAAGCAAGTTTGCTTTTTCATGTTTTGCAGGTTTTCTTTGCCTCAGTTCGCTCTGGTGGAAGCAGTCAAGTTTATTTCATGACCTTAGGCAGGACTTCCCTTCTGAGCTGGTAGAAGCGATGCGGTCTAACTGAGGGATTGTGGTCGCCGGGAGTCTTCATAACTTGGAAATCATTTGCAACTGGAATCCAGATCTGCCATGATGCCGTGCCACTTGCCATTGTGTGTGCAGGAATCACTGGTGTTGGGTTCTTTTTGTTTTTAAACGAAGGCTGCGGTCTGCAGCTGGTGCTGTAAAGATCTTGCCATTAGGTGCTACTCTGATTTGGGATCCCACTAGAGAAAGAGTCAGGTCTCTCTCCTTTTCCTCCTCCCATTCCTCTTCCCCTCAGCTCCAGATTTCCGAGAGAACAAAAGGAAGAGACTGTCAGAAACATGTTTTTGAAAGGAGGCAGGTATAAGAAGGTGGCAGGAGGGTGTCGTAGGCAGAGCCAGCGTTGCTGAAGCAGAGTGCGAATCTAATATAGTAATATTAACAATGTATTTAATTGACTTTTTTCTTTCTTCTTCTTCTGTTCTTTTTTTTTTCCTAATGTGACAATATGTGAGCAAAGAGGAAGATGCAGGTTTTAAAAGCTAATATTTATAAAATGTGAAAGGCACAGTGGTTTTAGGGGAGGTGGGGTGACTTTTTTTTTTTTTAAAGTTTTGGCCTGGCCAAGAGTTTCGTCATTTTATTCCTTTGTACCAAGTTTTGCCTGAAAACTATGGATTTTTTTAAAAGCAGAATTGGTCATTTTTCTATAATGACTCTGCATTAGGACAGAACTTGGTAACGTCAGTGTTAGCACTGCCTCAGTTAAAGGTTTAATTTTTGTTTAAACCTTAAATGTGCAACAACTTTACTACCAGTCTGCTTGTGCAGCCTTTGGGGAAAGAAAATGTCAAACATGTTTATTTTTGTGCCTACCTCATTTCTAATGCATACAATAAAAGAGGTGGTTTAGGTTTATACTTTTTTTAGGATAACAAATAATAATGTCCAATTAATCATAATACCAAAACTAGCAGATTAAAGGTTTGACTGTTAATTTTGTAACAGGTTTCAACAGGAGAGACCAGCAGTCATTTGTAATGGTTGAATTAGACTTGTGGCAGTAACACAGTGATGCTTAAGTAGTCCATTTTTAAAATTTTGAAAGCAGACTTTTCACTTTATTTTTTACCAGTGTCATCATGAATGGGAATTAAAAAGTGAGTTTAGCCTAAGATCTGGAACGTTTTATTCTTAACATACGGAGCTTGGTGACAGGCGAGTAACAAAAACTAGGCTAGTTCTCTTAACTTCTTAAATGTTGTGGGAAACTGGGGAAATTACATTTTTCTTTTCTAATAATGCAATGCACTAAAACCATTTTAAGAATGTAGTTGATACTGCTTATTCGTTTTTAAAGCAGCATATACTTACGTTTCAATGTAAAATTCAAACTCTTGGCTTTCCTTTTTCTTTCCTTCACCCCACCTTTTTAAAGGAAAAAAACCAACAACCTCAGTTTTGTTTTATCACTAAGTTTTTGGCCTTTGTAATAAATGTCTCAAGAATAATACTTCGTTTAAAGATTACATGTGTTTATTACTTGAGAAAACTTGAGTGTGTAATCTGTTGGTGATGTAATAATGCACAGTGTCATGATCTGATCATTTATGGTTTTTAAAAACATTTTTTACTCTCTTTGGGGTACTTTTGTTGACAGCTGCCTTAAGCTCACTATTCAGTAAGAGAATTGGTTTCCGGTGTTTCATGGGCTGAGTCTTCTGGTGTGGTTGCCTTTTTTTTCATGGCATGGTAGGTAGGGATTGAAATGTGGATCTTCAGTCAAGATACTTGACAGGTCAAGTGAGATAGTCATATGACTGATTCTGTGTTTAACAGCACCAGATGAATGAGCCTTCTGCTCAATAAGCCATGCTTTGGGCACCAATCGGCTGTTCTTTTCTTTGACCCAACCTTTTTTAAAAAAAAAAATCGCTAAAGACTTTCTTTGATAAAGCAGGAAAATTCCCGTTCCCCCCAAATAAGTGTGTATCAAACAAATAAGAGCGCCTTGTAATTGTTGACAGAAAAAAACTATTTGAAATCTCTCTCTATCTTTTTTTAATTGTTTGGCTTTGGAGTAATATTGACTATCAGGGCTAAGGTTGCAGTTGGATTTCACATTTCTTTGTACTTCTGGGTGAACAACTGAAACTGTGGCTCTGCTTTGTCTGGCAGAAACTGAATGGGGAACCAGAAGATCAATCCAAACATGGGCAGTAGAGACCTCTTTTGCATTCACCTTGTTGCACAGTTTACTGATTAGCTAGTTGTCCAGAGGAAAAGACTAATGTGGTTAAAGCTGAGAAAAGATCACACCCTCTTCTCTCGTGCCATCTTGTTTCACGTTTAGCAAAAAGAAGACTACTGTTATAAATGTAGGAATATTGTGAGATGGAGAAGTTCTCCCAGATCAATATCCTGACCACATTCTGTGAAACATCAAGGGGGTGAGGAGCATGACATGGAGAAATTCTCCCAGATCAATACTCTACAAGGCGATGGAGAAATGACTTGTTCAACAGTACTGCTGTTTATCTGCCCCAAACACCACACATGTGCCAGGGTGGCAAACTTAACCAGTTGAATCAGTATTATGAAACCACTACGTAGAAAATGTTCAAACCCATTTTTTTAAAGCAGTGCTATTGGTAAACATTAAAAAAATACTCCTAGTTAGTTTTAATCTTTAAGTAATAATTTCTGTATCTTAAGTCAAAGTAACTCTAACTGTATGACTGCAGTGACTTTATTTTTATCGTATGCACATGTTACGTTGGAGAAAATGTTTACAAAATGGTTTTGTTACACTAATGTGCATCACATATTTATGGTTTATTTCCAAGTGATTTTGTGGGGTTTAGGTTTGCATAGTAGTAGCAGTACACATTTTTGTGATTTTTTTAAAACAACCCCAGATTCTGCCAATTATAAAGATGCTTAAACAATAATACAAATGACAGAATTACAGTAAAATGACTAATTGTAGAGCTGCAAAGCAGACTGGCAATGAAACACTCAGCCTTTTTTGCAGTGCTGTCTAATTTGTCTTTTGTGTATTATAAAAATACTGTTTCCCCCTGCCCTTTCCTTAAATAAAGTAAAAATGACACCTATGTGTGTACAGAAAGCATTTTTGAGTATTTTTTAAAAGAGGATTTCAATATGTACTTTTCAAAGTTGGGGGGGGGACCAACTTAGCCCATGATTACAGTTACATAAAAAGGTAAAGGTTCCCCTTGACAATTTGCCCGGTTGTGTTCGACTCTAGGGGGCGGTGCTCATCTCCGTTTCCAACTCATAGAGCTAGCGTTTGTCCGAAGACAATCTTCTGTGGTCACATGGTCAGCACGACTAGATACGGAATACCTTCCCACCATGGTGGTACCTATTTATCTATTCGCATTTACAGGTTGGCGGGAGCTGGGACTAGCGACGGGAGCTCACTCTGTCACGTGGATTTGATCTTACGACTGCAGGTCTTCTGACCTTGCAGCACAGACGCTTCTGCGGTTTAACTGCAGCTCCACCACGTCCCCCTGATTGCAGTTATATAGTATGTGCTAAAAGCTACCCTTGCTGAAAGACACACAAATATGCATGTAGATGTGGACATAACAGGAAAAATTGTGTGTATCATTTTGTTGAAGCAATGCAGAATGGTTTACAGAGACTGTTTGGATGATGTAGCAATTTTTTCCATCAAGTCTTCTGAAAAGATTAGATCAGTTGTATTTATTTTATTTATTGCATTTATATGCCGCCCATCTAGACATAGTCTACTCAGTTGTATAGTTGTTTCTCTTGTTTTCATTAACACCAGTGCTGAGCCATGTTCCATATCATCATCCCTTACATTTGGGCACTCAGTAGTACATGTGCAAGTTGTTATTCACCCTATTATTTTTTTCTGGAATCATGGCTGAGGTGGGGGAAGCAATATTACACTAGAGCACCTGAATGACAGACTTTATCCCAAATGTTTTGGTACAGGAGTGCCTTTTTATTCTGCAAATGAGAAAAACAAAAAGGAAGTGAAATGGTGCCAACCAAGATCATATGCAAATACAAAACGATGAGTGGTGCAAACACTTCCCAAAACAGAACACATGCAAGGAAGATTGTGAAGGATCCAGGGTTCTCATTGAGCTCATGTTGCTTAAGTCGTCACCAGCAGGGGGAGATTTCCAGTAATCGAAGACTTCTTCCTTTCCCCGGTTCACACAGTTCTTTTCTCATGCATTGGACTGGACAAGCTGAAAATCTTCCGTTGCTGGTGGCATCATCACCCTTGCACAGATGTAACTGAACTAGCATGCTCTGCAGTTTCCCTGACAAACAGGCTCCTAAGAAAAATGCAGTATACAACATGAAGATTCAGCATGATTTCCACCTAGTTGGCTGTTGAAGTGGTCTGGTTTTGCTTGGAAATCTACTCTTCTTCAGTACGGAAAAAACAACAGCAGTACCAGATGTGTATCATCTGACCAGTTAATTGTGCTTATTAAATTCAGTTGCAATATATACCTCCAACTCAGAATGGAACAAAGGATATGTTAATAATCTTTCAATCAGTCAGTCAAAAATTATCTTGCCACCAGTCTTAACACTTCACTAATGCCTATAAGACAGTTTAAAGAAATCTTACAGGTATCCAAAATGTGTGATGAGGGGAGGGGGCTAATCTATGATTTAAATTTTATATTGGGTCTTGGAAAACAATGGTGCCTTTAAAAAAAATCTAAAATTAGAACAAAAGACCACCATTGTAATCCTCCAATATACTTGAAATCGCAGAAAAGAGACAACCCCCCCATAAAAACATTGAATTGTTAAAGGTTAATAACTGCTTTTTGTTCTGCTCTTAAGGCTAAGTTCTCAGATCCCACTTTTTTTTCTGTGGCGTGCATACACACAGCATTGCTTTTTATGATATATTTCCCATGAAAATTGGAACTACTTTGGAGGGCTTCTCATTTTTGGGTGCTTAAAAACAAAACAAACTAACAAAAGAAAAACCCTGAAGCAATAAGGCATGTATATATGCATTTTTTTAATTTACAGAATCTATTTTGAAAAAACACGCTGCATGCTTGTGTGAAATCTTTCTGTAATATTCCGTCCAGTGTACATATACTCTCTCTACAGTGGAACACTGGCCATAAGATTGTGTAAAAATGCTGTTTCTTAATCATCTGAGCAACAGCGACACACAGTTTAGACATGTTCTGTTACAACATGTTAGTGTTTTGAAACTCCTTTGGGATGGATGTATTCTGTACAGAGAGAAATGTAGCGGTTTGGCTTCACCGACTGCCAGTTGTCAGAATTCCTATCAAGCTACTGTGATTAGTCTACCTTAAACAATCTGTAGAATAGTAATTCCTCTGATGGTGATGGTAGATGAATGGGCCTGTGAAAGCTTGTGTACTACCTAGGAGCAACTGGTATGTACAGTATATATAAAGATAGAGGGAAATTAGCGTGGAAATAAAGACCATGTTCCAGCTATAGAATTATGTGAAGCTTTCCCTCTTTTTTAATCTTTTTTAATTTTCTATAACTATATAAACAAAAACATATAACATATAAACTCAAATACAATTTAACTGTGTTCCCCACCAATATGTACGGGACCTCTTGCCATATTCTTCCTCTTCCTTCTTTCCCTCTTTTATCGTTCCATTAAACAACAGTAAGAATAACTGATTGCTAAGCAGAAAATACTTCTCATGAGAAGAGAAGACTCCTTGGGAAAAGACACTGATGTTAGGAAAGTGTGAAGGCAGGAGGAGAAGGGGACGACAGAGGACGAGATGGTTGGACAGTGTCATCGAAGTTACCTATATGAATTTGACCCAACTCCGGGAGGCAGTGGAAGATAGGAGGGCCTGGCGTGCTCTGGTCCATGGGGTCACGAAGAGTCGGACACGACTTAACGACAAAGCAGAAAGTTAAGTTTGTAGTGGTATTATCTGAGAGTAGATCATATTGAATTCATTGGGCTTTCAGAGTAAACAGCATAAGAATTGGGCTATAAAAGCAAAAAAGCCAAGCAGTGCTGCTTATATACCACCCCATAGTGCTTAAAGCACTCTGGGCGGTTTTATGCAGACTACATTCCCCTCCATCCCAGCAAGCTGGGTACTCAATTTACCAACATCGAACGAGTGGAAAGCTTGAGCCAGCTAACTAGGATTGAACCTAGGTTATAAACAGAGTTTTCGCTGCAACACTGCAGTTGAACCGCTATGCCACAAGGCTCCTTTCAGCAATGATGAAGATACAAAATGAATCCTCAGTATATTTTGTGGGAATAAAATGTACTTTTTAGGGGTGTGACATTAACACCCCTATTTTAAGCTTCACCTCACATTTTGACTTTATGGGCCTGCCACAGCGATGACACTGAAAAGCAAAGAGAGCCGTATTGGGCTTGTGGGTGGCAACAGTCTCAGTTGTGCAGGATCTTTCTTGGGACTAACTGAGCAAGCAAAAGAATGTAAGCGTTCCCTAGAACACTTTGTCATCTTAGAAGGCACAAATGGAGAAAAAGAGGAATAATCCAAAACATAGGTCAAAGGTCGGAGGTTTAACATGCACAATTTAAAGTGTGTCCCATAATCAAGATTTGGGGCTGAACACTTGGCTCCCTGGGAGGAAGTCATGGCTGAACCCCCATTTCTAAAAGCATGAACGTCAGCTGTTCCCCAACTAGCCTTGAGCACAACATATTGGTTTGTAGTAAAAAAAAAAAGAAAAGAAAAGAAAAGACTGTTCCCCAACTAGCCTTGAGCACAGCATATTGGTTTGTAGTAAAAAAAAAAGAAAAAAAGATAGTGGCAGTTCAAATAGAAAAACTGAAAATTAATTTTAGATGATGCAGTAAATAAAGACATCATTTGAAGCCCAGTTGTGCCGTTCTAACTAGTGAGTAGAGGAAATAGAGCCTTCAATATGTAAAGTCCCTCTTCTGGTATAGAAAATAGTATCGATTTTCCCTTGGATGGCTAAATATAGTATCTGTCCAAGGCACACACACACACGCAAAACGTTCGTCATGAAGAGCTACCAAACAATTTAATTACAATGATCACCCCACACGTGTTTAGTAAGCATGAACTCTTGTGTATCTGAAAGAGTTTCACTTAAATAATTGCAGTAATACTGATATATTTGAAAACACCCAGATTTAAGTATTTATTTATTTATTTATTTATTTTATTAGACTTTTATCCTGCCCTTCTAGACAATGTCTACTTAGAGCGGGTCACCAGAAAATCATTCATAAAAACAGTTAACAGAATAAATTAAATTGACATATTAGTGTTGATCAAGATGGGAAAACAGACAGAAAACTAAGTAAAAGTCAAGTATTGACAGGAGGGAAGGCCTGCCTAAAGAGCCAAGTCTTTAATTGGCTCTTGAAAACACCCAGCAAAGGTGCCAGGCAGAACTCTGATGGCAAGCTGTTCCAAAGTCGAGGGGCCACTGCCGAGAGGGCCCAGTTTCTTGTTCTTTCTTTCCCGACCTCTCTCGGTGTTGGGCCCATCAGCCATCTTTCCTGGCTATAGTGAGTGACTCAAGTAGATCTAGGTGGGAGAAGGAGTTCTGCTAGGTATTGAGGTCCTAAACCGTTTAGGGCTTTATATGTCGTCATTAACACTGAAATCAATGCAGAAACGAATGGGCAGCCAATGCAAGGCAGCCAGAGTGGGAGTGATATGCTGAAATTTTCTTGTTCCACTAAGTAATCTGGCTGCCGCATTCTGCACCATTTGAAGCTTCCACATCAGTTTCAAAGGTAGCCCCACGTAGAGCGCATTACAGTGTCCTAATCTCAAGATTACAAGTGGGTGGACCAGAGCGGGGAGGGCCCCACCATCAAGATAGGGATGCAGCTGGGCAATCCGCCACAGACGGTAGCGGACCACTGACGCCACCTGGGTTTCGCGGACCACTAACGCCACCTGGGTTTCCATGTTGAGCGCTGTGTCCAGATGTACTCCCAAGCTGCGAACCTTACTCTTTGCAGCACGAGTCACACACACACACCCCGGAAGGAGAGGGAGTTTCCCAAGCCGCCAATGGAGGGGCTGCCCACCCTCAGGA